GATGAAGAAATTTGATTGTTGGGGGCAGTTTTAGAGAAAACACTTGGGGGGAAATAATATGAATTTCAGCTGATGTGGCTTGGAAGCAAGAGAAGCTAATTTCCTCCTGCAAGATGCCAATTTTGCACCATTTTAAGCTAAGGAGAAGCATTTTGCACCATACACATTTCTTAGGGCCCAGCAGATAAACAGATATTTTCTGTAGAAAATGTTTTTTTATATATTTGTCATCGAACTGTTAGGAAGCAACTGTCTTTTCTTTCACATTTCAGCCATGCCAAGATTTTCTGTCGAAATTATTCCAGAAAACAGCTTTATTAGCTCCCAGCACTTTGAACGCTTCAAGATTACTATCCAAGCTCAGTAAGTCCAGATCATCAATTTTATGAGTTTGGTTTAGTTTAGTTTAGTTATTATTTTATTTTAGTTATTTTGTTTAGTTTAGTTTATCTATGCTAGTTGAAAGCCAAGAATGGCGTTCACAGATTGAAGAATGCAAATATTCGAAAGAAGATGGAGTGGATTAGAAGATCATGAAGAATAGAATAGAATATGAAATGAAGAGAAGAGAAGAGAAGAGAATATGAAATGAATAGAAGAGAAGAGAAGAGAAGAGAATATGAAATGGAGCGAACAGAACAGAAAATGAATAGAATAGAATAGAATAGAATAGAATAGAATAGAATAGAATAGAAGATAGAAGATAGAATAGAATAGAATAGAATAGAATAGAATAGAATAGAATAGAATAGAATAATAACTTTATTGTCACTTTAAATGTACATTAAAACATTAAAATGAGATTTCATTGCATACAGCTCTCAAAGGATAACCACCTCCAATATACACTGCATAAACATGACAAAATAATAACAACAATACTACTACTACTACTACTACTACTACTACTACTACTACTACTACTACTAATAATAATAATAATAATAATAATACATATACCCACATAATCATACATGTAATTAAGGAGCCAAGCTAGAAATTGGGAGGCGACAACTTCTATTCCTGCCTTAGGCATGAAGTCAACTGGGTGACCGTGAGCCAGTCACCTTCTCAGAGCCCTAAGAAGGAGGTAATGGCCAACGGCTTCTAAAACCTTGCCAAGAAAACCGCAGGAGCTCATCCAAGCAGTCGCCAGGAGTCAACATTAACCCAAAATGTCTCCCCCCCCCAAAAAAAACAATATTAATTGCAATCAACTGTCCACTGCTCTGGCCTTGAGATGCTTCCTCTCTAGCTGAGATCAATGAAGCCATCATTTACCCATAATTTCTCACGACCCAAACGGGGTTTCCTCATGGACTGATGGGTTGCGTTGCTTCTGGTCTCTTCTCCTCCAGGTATTTTTACAAGAAGAAACTGAGCGAAGCAGAAGTTTACGTCCGCTTTGGAATCGTTGAAGGAGCCAGAAAGACCATGTTGCCCAAATCGTTGCGTCTCGTTCACGTAAGCCTGGAGTCAGAACAAACCCCTCAAGCCTCTTCTTCCCTGTTCTAGATTCGGGGTTCTAGGTTTATCTGGGTGCAGGGGGCTGAGGTCGAGATGTCCGCTTTGAATGTCAGAGTCATGAGACCACATTTGGAAGCGAGAATTTAGCTCTAGGGTCTAATTTCTTGCCTTGTTCCTAATCTTCAGATGGAGGATGGCGTCGCAATACTTTATTTAAACAGCAAAGACGCTCTCCATGAAATGGGGTACAGCGACCTTTCAGAGGTGGATGGGGCCACCCTCTATATCGCAGCCTCCGTGCTGGAAACTGGAGGTAATTCCATCTGTCTGTCTGTCTGTCTCTCTCTCTTTCTTTCTCCCTCTTCCTTCCTTCCTTCCTTCCTTCCTTCCTTCCTTCCTTCCTTCCTTCCTT